ACTCGCCGTGGTGTCGAATAACATGAGACATGATGATGAGCTGCAAGTACTGGGTTTGATCCTTTCTCCGGCATGTTGAGTAATAATGACTCTTAAACTGTATGCTGTTTCTGCTGACTGAAAGCAAGTTGAAGTGAACGCTGTTGTTATGTTAGCACAGATCGTATAATATAATTATAACTCGTCTGTAGTTATGGTTCCTTTCCCGCCTTTTTTTTTCTTTAAAGACTTCCATTGTTCCAACATTCTTGTCCTTGTGTTTGGTTGATGCATTTAATGAGTGTTTGTGTAAGAACTTTTTTTAATTTTCTTCCTCTTCTATTTTTTTTTTTTTACATCACAGCCCCTTGAGCCTCCGAGTGTGCAAGGTAGTAAGAGTGATTACTTGGTGCTGGCAGAGCGTTACCTACCAGCTGTCGTCCTCGGCTATAGTCACTCAGTTTCTTGTGAAGATCTTTATAAAATTGCTAAGTTGATTTAATAATTACTTCCTTTTTACTCTTCATGGTTCAGCCTTTTTTCAGGTAATTACATTGTGATTATTTCATATCACAATACTTTGTTTGGCTTTTGGTGAAGATATTTTTTTAATGTGTTTCTTACTGTTCTCGTTGTGAATCTTCAGTGTTATCTTCCAAACTCAGCAATATCATAAAACTTCCTCGGATTGAGTGAATATTTACAGTTTCCTCCCTTCCTTGGTGAAATGTACGATTTCCTCGCAGGCGAAAGGTGACGGGTTCGCTTTCAGACCGGAGATGGGGATTGTGTTCCCTCCTTCAACACGAGCCCTTGTACCCTCTGCAGTAAATGGGTGTAGTTGTTGATGGTGGAACGACCCTTCGGTGGTCTAGTATTATGCCGAGAAGGAGGAGTAACTCACTAGTTGCTGGATGATAAGGAAATCAACACCAGTTTGGCCACCGTGTGTGTGTGTGTGTGTGTGTGGAAGCAATGATTCATATTAGCCATCAAGGACAATCATAAAAACTTGTCCTTTGTCTTGATGCCTGTCTTCATCTCGTAGAAAGTTGAACGACACCCACACAATGCCTCTCAACCCCCAATATTTATAACCCGGGGAGCTGGACGACCCCCCCCCCCCAGGCCATCCTCAACACGGGTACCGTAAACACGTTCACATATTTTCTCCTGGGAATTATCACCCGTCTAAAAGACTCGGGATGAAAGGAATTTCCTTGTCAACTTTGTGGAGTGACCTGCGCAAATTCTGCCAGTCACTGGGCCCACTCTGCGCCATGTTTGGCAGCTCCGACAGACCAGTCACGCCGAGAACAGGTTGTGAGCGATTTTGCCTTCTATTCCAGCGACGATCTCTGGGGTACTGAAAGCTCAGAACCTTTCCCTGCACCAGCCAGTGTAAAAACTTAACTTGTTTTATTTATAAATATAAATGCAATCCCTGGGTTCAGTTCACACTCAGGCAAAATGTATTTATAATGTCCCTTCTTCTTCCTGATTTAATTTCGTATTTTCAGGACGTTATTTTTTATCACTCATTCACGTCACTATTATTGGCTCGTTAATGTGTTGTTAAACTTGGTCCTGTGTCACGCACCCCTGAGTCACTTGACCCCCCACACACAACACTTACCAACAACATAATTCTTTTATTTTCATAATTCCTCACCGTCCTCACTATAACTTAATGGAAATTAGTTAATGTAGGGTCAAATTCGCTTAATTTCCTGTAAGAATATTGTTGTCATAAATAACTAAACTATACCTAAATTATTAGTTTGGGTTAAGTAAAGTTAATTCTGTTGTGTCACTAATGATGCTATTCATTTACAGTTTGTATTTTGTTACCCACTACCAAGATCCAAAAATGTCTCAACACCTAAGGTGTGTACACGAACACACATGGATACACCCGGTCCCACCAAGTAACTCGCCAAGTATTAGATGTTTATAACAATCGAAAAGACTTATAATTTCACAGGCTTCACCTCACAAGAGCCCGCCCCAAGAGACTCGGTGACTCCACATAAAGTCACTGAAACACTTGCATGCGATCATCGGTCCCGCTAGATAATTGTCGGAGTGTTGGGACAATGATGTACAGTAATCCTGACCCACAGCATGAAAGTCAACACCAGTCTCGGTACGTATGTACAGTACAGTACAGACCAGACCATCAGCTGGTGCTGGGGTCACGTGGACCCTTATATAGGCTGTCAGAGAACCGTTCATCACCGATCTCTCCCTCTTGTGGTTGACGTACATGGCTAAAGAGAACGACAGACAGTTAACCTAAATATTTACTTGTTGGGTGTGAAGCCACATCGCTCTGGACGCCACCTCAATATGGCGTCAATCAGTGCACGCAAAAGATGACCATAAAACTTGGGTGAAACATTGAGTAATGCAACATATTATAGTCGGTGCTACAATTCTATTGGTCTAGTTTTCTTTTATAGAAAGATCAAAGTCAACTGATTAAATGGAATATAAATGTAGCGTAACACCAGAAGGACTTGAGTCACCCCCCCCCACCCCCCGTTACAGCTTCACTAACAATCGTCAGGAACACCTTGATGGTGACACACATTCGAGTTGCCATCCTACCTCATCACAGCCAAGCTCTCTTGACCCCTGAATGTGATGGATCAGTCAGTGTCTTGTCTCGAGATTCAGCAGCCAGTGCCTGCCCGGCTACACACGCCAACAATTTGTTTCCTGAGTTCGGTCCATCAAGCTCTGAAGTCATCAGAATCTAACGCTAGACGGCCTCCAGCTAGTCCGTTACCACTGTTCTGGAGTAAGAAACTTTAAATTCTGTTATGTTAGTTGAAGACAATTTACATATAGAATATCTGTAACTTTTCCAATGTTTCTCTTCACGGATATTTTCATGGCTCTAATGTGGCTCTACTCGTCTACTCAGAGTAGAGCCAGGCATCATTGTTATTATTAGAAGGAACTTGTTTATTTTACTGCCATTTAACTCCCATGACCGTGTAGCTGTTTCTAGAGTGTGACTTCAGGAGAACGGATCATGTTAGTCGCTTCCAAACTAACCTTCACTCGTGGGTTGAATCTCCGTGCGTCGTAGGTTACTTGAGTCACGTCGTGACATTGAGACAGTCTAAGGTTAGCAACAACGAGATTCCCGGCAGCACCAGACAAGTCAGCTTTCCTAAAGACCTTCACTTGTGATGAAGCGTCAACAAGAAACCACAGGAATGTGATCAATCTCCACGGCACGTCCGGTTTTGGACTACCAGATGCAATAATGCAACTTTGGCCTCAGGATTCTGTCCTTTGTGCCTTCTGACACTGGGAAAATCCAGAGATTATAAAAAGCATTTTCTTTCTACAAAAACCACGAGGACTGATGTCTCATAACCAACTCCCTCCACACAGAAAGGAATAACTTCATAAGGTTAATGAACTCTTTAAGTGGAGTTGTCAGTTGAGGGATCACGTCACAGCCTCATCAGCACCACCAATAACGCTCTCCTCGTTAGTGATCTCACTAACACCACACCGTCGCTACACCCTCTCCAGCCTCCACACGTCCCTTGATGCCGCAGTCATCCGTTACTACTGAGGCTGACAGTGTTAAAGGCATCCTCCCTGTCATTGTGCTGACTTGGCGACTCCTTACCAAGAAAACAGCAACGTTGACCATAGTACAGCGAAGAATATTGCAGAATATTCTCCTGCTTCAAGTGGCAAAGATTCACTGAACCTCTCCTATCGTTATTATATTAGTTGCGGTAAACCCCATCGACCATCCACAACTCCAGTATTCGCCCTTGGTAAACATGACTGAAGGTCGCGCACTACCAGCCCTCACAACTGGACCTCTGCTTGGTGGTGGTAGTCCTGATAAAGTTTACATTCCCAGCTAAGAAATATGAGGAATGGAACTCCATGGCCACCACTACAGATATCACCATTTATATACAGTACTGCCATAGAATAATATTAGGACATCAGCTGTTGTACCAAGAAAGTCTCCAGATTTCTTACTAATATAATGACCTCCCCCCCCCCTCACACACACACACACTGCCTTCATTATCCTCTTGTCTGAACTTTCGTGGGACTCAGCGGTGATGTGTGTCCATCAGCGTGTGACAACTGTGTGTTCACTTAAATAACTCTCAGTGGTCTTTTTAATTTATTCGTTTATTTTTTTTTTTTTTTTAAGTGTATAAGGACAGATTCTCACTTGGTCTTGTTGGGTACATTGTTATACTAACTAAATGAAGAGTTTGAGTCAGTGTTGGTCTGGGGAGATGTGCTGTTTCTATCACTTTGTGTGAAGTAGAAGTTCTGTGTTCCTGACATTTATTTAAGATGTCTTCAGGATCTTCTTCATGGTGGCTCGTTATAGTTATTTCATCGAGAGAGAGAGGGTGTAAGTTGTATCGTCTACGTGTGTGTGTTCTCAACCCTCAGCTACTCTCACTTTCGGTAGTCCTCGACCCGCCAAGGCAAAATGCATCGCCGTTAGTCCTTTACCTATCTTGAGTGTGCAGTGTTGCCTGGGCTGGGCGCCGTGACCGTAGTGAGGGGTGACGGGTGAGGCAGAGGTATGAGCTAGTCCCTCCCCCCCGCAGGCTGCATCAACACAGTCAACCATGTGTTCGTCATGACTGTTTTACGCTTGAGTGACAACACACGCCACACATATTTATCACGTTAAGTTGTCAACGTGAGGTACATCTTAAGTGCAAAGAACATATTTGTGTTCCAAATGCATAACATGTGTCAAGACGGGGAAATAAGCACAGTGAGTGGAGGTGACTGGAGGGCCTCTTACTGCAGCACGATCCTTCTCCAGTGTAGTCGACGCACCAACTCTCAACCTACTCTCTCTCCTTTCCAAGTGATTGAAGGAAGCTGGTGAGGAGTAGGAGGAGGACGAGGGTAGGAAACACAAGGAGGAATTGTGTGGTGGGAGAGGGAGGAGGTTGTGGGGGGATTTGGGGGGAGAGAGAGGTAAGAGTGCACAGGCCGAGGGAGAGGCCGGGAGAGGCAGTTGAGGAGCGTGGAGTGCAGCATGAGGGTGTCCGGCGTGGCGCTGCACCACCACCATCACACACATTCACGCCGCCCCACCACACACCCAGCGTCCTTCCTCTCCTGATGGTTCTCACTCCCCACCTGTGACTATGGTAATTTCAATGCCACGAAACAACAGATCCTCACAATAAGGCGTTTTATTGTGTGTGTTTATACAGACTTGAACTAAATAACACAAAAGACGCCACAGGGGGGGATACTGAACTAGTTATCATGAAAACCCCAACTGAAGAAGAGGTCGTCGATAGATGAGACAAACCCCACCAGAAAAACAATCTCGCAGACGCAGATGATTTAAAGAAAAGCTGACAAGAATTCATTAGGTTATCAGACAGACCCAAAGACATTATTCTCAGCGGAAATAAAAGGAAATAAAAGTAGAGGATATTGTTTGTGGCATAGCAAGAGTGTACAGTACAGGAGAACGTCAGCTTTCCCGTGAGGTCTGGACTCTCCCCAACCGTCCAGGAAAGCTCTCGGGACTGGGCAGTGATCCAAGTGTATACCTGCAGCACCACGACACCCAACGTGAAGGTGAGTTTTACTACACCCTGATGCACCCTCCTCTACAGTACCTAATACCACCACTCATACCTACACCCTTCCCCATAGTGACATACATTAACACTACACCCTCTTTCACAGTGACATACACCCACACTACATCTTCCCCCCACAGTGACATATACTCATACTACACACTCTCCCACAGTGACATACACCCACACCCTCCGCCACAGTAACTAATACACCCAGCTTACACACCCTGGTCAGTTTCTATATGCACAAGACATCCTCAGTAAGAAATGACATCACGGGGCAGTCATTTCGCTCTCTCAAGGTTAAGAACTAGCTGTGTCTGGGACTCTGGAGGGTCTTGTTTGTAGGTGAAGAAGATCATTATTATTCTAAGGTTTTTAGGGAGGTTAATGAAGGTTATTGTTATTTTAGGGGTTTAAAGGATAAGGAAGGTATTTTTTTTATTTTAGGGTTTTTAGGAAGGTTAGTGAAGGTTATTATTATTTTAGGGGTTTAAAGGATAAGGAAGGTCACTATTATTTTAAGGTTTTAGGTAAGATAAGGAGGTTCATTAGTATTTTAGGGTTTTAGGTAAGATAAGGGGGTACATTGGTATTTTAGGATTTTTAAGGTAGGAAAATGGGGTTCATTATTATTCAAAGGGGGATATAGGTTGGATAATGGATTTCTCACCTATCCTAAATGTATTTTAGGGAAAGACAAAGGGTTTCATATTTAAGGTGGCTTTAAGATTGGATTAAGGCTTGTATATCTATTTTAAGGATCTTTTAAGGTAGGATAGGGGATTCGTAATAAACTAAATGGTATATGAAGTTGGATAAGGATTTTTTTTTACTATATTAATATAGAAAAGACATTCTAATCCAGCGCTGAAATTATGTTATTCTCAAGCTGGCTGGGTTGTTCAAGTGCAGTCCTGTTCAAGTGCAGTCCGGGATTTAGGGTTGAACTTGGCTCTTATCTGGCTTTCCCGGGCTTTTAAGAGAAAAATATATAAACGTATCCATAAATATTAAAACATTTTAGAATATTAATGATCATTAGTTTAGTGTGTGTACAGGAGTTGATAAAGAAGTACCATATGAAGCCAGCGTGTTCACTCCTCCCGTCCTGCTGGTGAAACATAAACAAAGAGGGGATACGGGGTTACAATAATTCCACAAAATGTTGAAAATTAGAATAACATTATACTATGATAATACCTTAACGAGTTACTTTGACTTACAAGATTATTTAACTTAAAATTACTGTATTTCGTTTGTATTATCTAAGTATCATACAAATTATGTGTGTTCTATTTTATGTTATATGATATGTGTTAAGTAGGTGATATTATATGTATATACAGTTTATATGAATTATGTGTTATGTTTTAGTTGTATTATGTATATATGTATACTATCATGTGAAATATATATGTAGCATAATCTGTGCCATATGTACCATTCTTCGTGGACACTTTGCATAATTTTGATAATATGTTTGAACGTTATTATTGTACTTAGTTTATATATCAACCCGTCAGGTGTATTAATAGTACTTGAGTTAACTATTAATGCTCACTGCCACCTATTTACACTCAGACGCCTCAACTGCTCTGGTCACATCAACCACTACACTATGACGCCCCCTTTTTGTGCTGCTTGGTTTACCCGTAGTCCTCCCTGTTTCCTCACCAAGGCGAGCGGGGGCTAGTGTTACTGTAGAGCGTCGTGCAGGTTAATTAACCATTTGAGGACGATGGTTTAATCCTTTGAGGACTATTGTTTAACCCTTTGAGGAGGATGGTTTAACCCTTTGATAACGATGGTTTTTAACCCTTTGATAACGATGGTTTAACCCCCAGGAGTCAAAGGGTTACAGTCACAACAATAATTTAGTTTAAAGAAAAGAACCTACGGTGTAACTCTGTACTGTACAGTATACCCCAGAGTATCCACAACTTACTACACTGGAAAGGTGTATAAGATTTCCTCTTAAGGGAGTTCTTTTTTCGTATATTATTTTATGTATTATAAGTGATATTATTTAATTACTGTCAATATATAATATTTTTCATATTAGTGGATCACTTTTGAAATCTTTACTGTTCGCAAAATGTCTGTCTATGTAAAGGTGAAAGTGAAGATAGGTCCCACACTTCTGAGAGCCTGAACACTGTACACTAAACCTTAGGAGGGACACAGAGGCAGCGTGGCTGGCACTGCTCTCGACCACCTTCACTTCACCTGTAAAGTTGAGTACCTATTTACAACTGGGTGAACTGGGAGTGCCCTGGATTCGAACCATTAAACCTTAGTACAGACGGCTAGGGCTGTATTCACTTGGCCACTGCATCTATAAATATCTAGGTACAGTACACTTGAAAAGGCCACAAGCTGTATTATTTCGTGCGTCAACAAACGTTCCCTGAAAAGAATGGCAAAATCCGGTTCCGCTTTCCCCCGATTAACCGAGAGTTCATATTTGATAAATATATACAGCACATTTACATATTCGCCGTAAAAATCATGAGGCTGCTATGTGTTGGTAGTCCGAAGGTCAGTGTTCAAGGTCGTGGGTGCGAGAAGAGGTCCCACAAGGCAAGCAGTTGGTACCCGCCTCTAGGACAGTCTAGTGACCGTCAACCTGAGGCGTTGGTGAATTCCTGTGTAGATACTGTGTTTTACATCATCAAGGAATGCCGTGTATTGTACCTCTAGTATGTCGATCTACCCACCGGGAGATGTGTGATAGCCAGGGATTCTCAGCTGTTATTGTACAAGACAGCTACAACAAATAATCGATATTACACACACACACACACACACACTATAAAAATCACTACAATTTGCGGCCAATGCTCCTCCCCGCTAGCCGTGTCCACCAACCCTCCCCTCCTTTTTCCTTTACCCCGCCCCGCGCTCCTCTGTGGTGAAGGTCAACTGTAATATCCAGTAAGGGGTCACTGGTGAACGCTGGCAGACGTGTATTTTCAAAACATTGGTGGTTCAGGACAGAAGTACCCTCCCTCCCCCTCCCATCATCTCTCCCTCTCCTCCCTCTCACAAGCCCAAAGAAGTGTGAGGACCCTACCAGATTTATAAAACGATAATCCTGCCTGGCCACTCCACTAAACCCCCCCGCCACCACTCAGTAGACCCACAGTATAACCTTAATAGACTGTTGAGAGAGTATGATAAAGGTGACTGGCTGACCAAAGATGGTCTGCATGTCCTGTCTCGCTTAAAACACGGCGCCATAAACCCGCCTTGACCCTGACGACTAAACCCTTTATAAACCAGTCGACAAACCACTTCTTGGCCAACGAGAGTAGAGCCTCTTAGTCAACCTACGGTATATCAACATTATTCTCGTGTTGTTGAGAGAGGCGCGTGTACTGTGGGTTTAAGTTATACCTCCAGGCCGGGCACATCGTCCCTCACACAACAAAGGCCTCTTGTGTTTTCTCATGTATACATTGTGGAAGTTAACGGTCATGGTATTGTCTCTACCTTATCAAGTGTCTTATTGCATGATCGTGACTGTTTTTGTTTTTATCCGTGTGTGTGTGTGTGTGTGTGTGTGTGTGTGTGTGTGTGTGTGTGTGTGTGTGTTTACCTCGCCACTGCTCATCACAGAAGTGTACAATAAGGAGAATGTATGATAACCCCTAAGTCTGCATGTTATCTGAAGTCACTGCCACCCAGTCTCCAGCCACCCACACAGCACCACCCAACCTCCAGCTACCCACACAGCACCACTCAGTCTCCAGCCACCCACACAGCACCACCCAGTCTTCAGCCACCCACACACAGCACCACCCAGTCTTCAGCCACCCACACACCACCCCCAGCCTCCACCCACCCACACGACACCCAGCCTCCAGCTACCCACACAGCACCACCCAGTCTCCAGCTACCCACACAGCACCACCCAGTCTCCAGCCACCCACACAGCACCACCCAGTCTTCAGCCACCCACACAGCACCATCCACCCTCCACCCACCCACACAGCACCACCCACCCTCCAGCTACCCACACAGCACCACCCAGTCTTCAGCCACCCACACAGCACCATCCACCCTCCACCCACCCACACAGCACCACCCACCCTCCAGCTACCCACACAGCACCACCCAAGCCTCCACCCACCCACACACCACCACCCAGCCTCCACCCACCCACACAACACCCAGCCTCCACCCACCCACACGACACCCAGCCTCCACCCACCCACACACCACCCCCCAGCCTCCACCCACCCACACAACACCACCCAAGCCTCCAGCCACCCACCCACACAACACCACCCAAGCCTCCAGCCACCCACCCACACAACACCACCCAAGCCTCCAGCCACCCACCCACACAACACCAACCAGCCTCCAGATACCACCACCCAGCCTCCAGTCACCCACACACCACCACCTTCACCCGGCAGATGTGATGTACCGGAGCTAATGAATGACACACTCACGTGGCCCTCACACACACCAGGCCCTCACACTCACCTGGCCCTCACACTCACCTGGCCCTCCATACCATCGTGTTCCTGGCAGACTACCGAGCACCTAAGCACCTTCCAGCAGGAGCGAGTGTGTGACCTGTGTGTCCTTACCTCGCCAGGATGATAGATTAACTCACTCATAAGTTCGCCGTGTTGGCTCGGGGTGCTCGTCATGGATGCCTCATAAAGGTACCCAGAGACTGATAGTGAAGTGTCGCTAGGTCAACACAAGTATGGCGACGACATAATATAAATCAAAGATGTGTTTTTATCTTAATTTCTAATAGTTGATGTGTGTGTTTGAAGTGACTTATTGTACATGGTTAAAGACGTTTGTTGTTGAAGTAGAGAAATGCATCACAACAACAACAATAGCCAGCCTTGACATTCCTCTCCTAACATACATCATTTCAACTTGTAGACGAGGAAAACTGTGAGCAGGAGTGTTGCGCTGGGCGGATGGTGAAGAACCGCTACCCGCCCACACACCCACATACCCACCCAC